GATAGATTTCTTATCGCAAAAGGGAATAAGGGATGTGGGGATAAGGCAGGGTCAGGTTATTAGCTGGAGTTAGATTAGAAGATCAGCCATGATTGAATGGCGGGGCAGGCTCGAAGGTCCGAATGGCCTACTCCTGCTCCTACATGTTATGTTATGTTACGAAACTCTGGAACACTCTTCCTCTATCCCCCCTTGCCCCTTCCCCATCTTCAGGTCGCACCTGAAGACCTTCCTGTTCGACCGTGCCTACAGTCACCCCACCCCACCCTTTGCCCCCAGCTCGGCATCGTGCTCTTCCATTGTCAAGCACTTTGGGACTCTAGCTTTTGTGAAGGGTGCTATATAAATGCAAGTTGTTGTTGTTGATTGCTTTGAGCTCACAGTCTAGGCTGATGCTCCAGTGCAGTGCTGTGGTGAGCATTGCATTGTTCAAGGTGCTGCACTTCAGAGTTAAGTCAAGATCCAGTCTGCACTGTTCAGGTGGACATTAAAGATCCCTGCTACTATTCGGATAGAGAAAAGAGCTTTGGGTCAATAATACCCCAAATAATATTTGTCATTCAATTCAGGGCTGTTTGTTAACATGGTCTTGTTTACCTAAACAAACATGGTAAAAAAATTCATGTGTATTGCTTTGAGTCATCTCAACAATGTGATAAAGCAGTATATCAGATACAAGGATTATTATTTGTTATTTTGTGCATGTGTTTTATTCCCAGTGTAACAAGTAGGTAGAAATATTAAGGGAAGTAGAAAACCAACAGTATTACACGTAACATGTAAAGGAATACAGTTGAATAGTTATAAACAAGTTGAAACCAGCTTATCTGATGTCAGTGCAAACTTGTGGTTCTGCAATGAATCATATTCCAGATCACTTATCTTGTCTGGATTGCTAATGGCATATTTCAACCTACGCCCAATTTTAATACGCCCTGTCTGTGCTTCCTTCTCGAACCTTTTCTATTCCCAGCTTTTGTTTCTGTTACTGTTATAGTACAGCTGTTCTCTGTGCATTTAACACTAATGATCCCCCCAACCATCTCAATCCTTTTGGATTAGTACAAACTGTGAAGCATGGGTCTTGGTTCTGGGTAGTCAATGTAAATTGTCCAAAGTTTAATGAGATTTGGTAACAATCTGTAGCATTCAGAACATCCAAGATAGTGACTCTGACCAATCTTTTTATAATTTTTTAAATTTTTTTTTACCCTGACTGAATGTCTGCTGTACGCAGTGTAATCTGCTCCCACTTTACAACACTGCTAAAAAAAATGTAAATGAAGGTGGAAGCTACCAATAGAACATCTGTATCTGCTTTTCAAGCTGATTTCCTTTTTCATTTAAAATAACTGATGGTCTCAGACTCATCATAATCCTTGCATTTATTATGGTGCCTTTATTACATCCTGGTGATATCTCAAAGTGCTTCACAGGATATACCATGAAGAAGAATGTCTATATATTTTGTGAGCGAAACGTGGCAGGCAGTTTGCACACAGCAACAACAACAACTTGCACTTAGATAGCACCTCTCATGCAAGGTAGTGTCCCAGAGCACTTCAAGTCCCACAAACAGTCACGGAGTGAGTGAGGACTTTTATTTTGGGGGAATTGTTGGCTAGGACACCGGGAGAAACTTCCTCCTCTTTTAGAATAGTGCCGTGGGACCTTTAACATACACCTGAACAGGTAGAGAATGCTACCATAGAGCCAGGCTGACACAGAGAAGGTCAACTGTTGGAGTTCAGCCAACTCCATTGTGTTGGTAACAATCTTCAGAGGTCAGAAAACCAAAGATATTGACTCTAAAGATTGACTTTAAAACTATTGGTTCTGACCTCTAAAGATTGTTACCAACAAACACTGTTGGATCCCTAAGTGTTGGCGCTTGCCAACCTGCCACTAATGCTCTCCAGAATTAGGTAAACAGGGTCCATCCTTCTAGGAAGAGTACACACTGCCCTCCAGACGTGGGGAAACTTTAAGTACATAATATATAATTGGACGTGTCAATTGACCTGGACACTGTGAAACATGGTAAGCTTTTCTTTAAGTCAGTTTAATGTCTTCGCCTAACCCTAAACCTTCCTTCCTGGCAAGCTCTTCCAATTACTCTGTGGGTATAGGAAAAAACATCCTTGCCCTTTGTAGCTCTAAACATGTGCCCTCTTGTCCTGCTGTCCTGATACATCCAACAGTATTTTGCTGGGTTTACATTGTTAATCATATCCAAAATCGTAAATACCTTCAGAAAATCCCCTGTGATTCATTTCCTTCAAGACTAAAATGTCCCAGCTTGCCTCGAACATGTTTCTTATTAACTGTATGAGGTTGAAAATGCATTATAATAATAATAATAATAATAATCCTTGCATTTGATATAGCGCTTTTCACGTCGGGAGGATCCCAGGAGGAACTCCCTTCTCTTTTCAAATAATGTCATGGGATATTTAACATTCACTTGAACTGGTAGATGGGACCTAGGTTCAACATCTCATCCAAAGGATGGCACCTCCCTTGATTGCTTGAACCTACAATCTTCTGATTCAGCGAGTGCGTCAGGCTGACATACATATCAAATGCAGGGATTTTTAGTATTATTTACCTGCCCTGTAATTTACTCATTTAGTAGTAATACTAATAATTCTTACATTTGATATAACGCCTTTCATGTCGGGAGGCTGTGTCAAAGCAGTTCACAGGACCTACTGTAAAGTGAAGTGGCTACGTATTTTCAAAGGTTCAAAAATGCAGACTGGAGCANTTTTTTTCCCAATGTGTCTAGCAGATAGCTGACATTTCAACCTCTGTAAGCAATATTCGATAATGCAAGAATCTTTTCCACTTTTTAAATAACCACACCTAGTCCCACCCAGTCTTTGGGATTTAAGAATGTCTTCACATAACCCGATGGCAAAACTGGTTTGATAACAAAGATTCAGCGTTGCTTACTGTTTCTCATTTCCACTAAGGCAGGAGTGTTTATTCAATTTATAGAGTGGAAATTCACTTTAAGATTAGCCAACTAAAGGGATTGACTTACTAATGTGTCCAGTTTTGTCTCATGTCAACATTATGCGTCAGCTTGACTGTCCTCTGAGCCTGAAGGTTTATGAGTTCATGCATCAAACTGGGACTCAGATGTCTGACACTACCAATGCCTTTTGCAACTCTAAGCTATGTCTTTTGATGATTGATAAGCCTGTTTGGTTTCAGTGAGACTCTGAGGAATATACATATACTTCTGTGAGCTAAAGCCTCAAAGAGTAGCCCCATTTGCATAACAAATATTAAAATTACCAGCACTTTGTACTGCAAATACATGGTATAGAATGTATTTGGCAGTATATAGTGCTGGTAATTTTAATAATTGATATGTGCTCAACCCATTGTTGGGGAATGAAAGCCTGTGATCCTCCCATTGCAATCGCAATACCTCTTGGTGGAGAAAACTTTACAACAGCTTTCTTGAATGTATTTTGCACTCAACAGGCATGGACATTGACTCTAATATCTTCCGATATTAATTAAAGATGTGAGAACAGTGGCAGGTTTGTCAGTATCTGGAGGATTGTTAAATAAATTCACCCTACGTCCAGTGACATTGGACTGTTTGTCTGTTTTGGGCCACTTCAGGACTTTCCAGGATTTTACAGGGTACAATTTACAATCCATCTGATATCATCTACAAAATACCCAGTAACTACACTCCGCAATAAAATCATCTGAAGGGCTTCGAGATATATTTATGACGTGATAAGCTACTATACTACGTGAAGGTCGTTTCTGAATGGTTTTCAGTGATGGGGCAGTCAGACTAATAACTCTGCCAGATTAATAAAAAAAACTATCATTCGCTCTCCTGGCTGTTTGTGAGGCATGTGCAATTTAGTTGCCGCATTTGCCCACACAGTCACTATTATAGAAAAACACAGTGAAGTGCTTTGAGACGTTTGCACATGATGTGGCGTTATATCAAATGCCAGGATTATTATCCTATAACTTGGCTTTTCTTGAGTCAGCTTCTCTATCTCTGCCAAATGCTGTTTTGCATGCTGTAAATCTCCAGTGTTACCTGTTTCATTTACTGAACATGTATTTATAATAATAATAATAATAATCCTTGCATTTGATATAGCGCTTTTCACGTCGGGAGGACGTCCCAAAGCGCTTCACAGAACACACTGTAAAGTGAATTGACTGTATATTTGTGGGCGAACGCGGCAGCCAATTGCGCACAGCAATGTCCCACAAACAGTCATAGATTGAAAATGACCAATTTATTATTGGTTTTGGTTTTGGAGGGATTATTATTAAGCTCTGTGTGGAGTAAGGAAACTTGCCCAAGGTTTCGCCCTGACCTGCCTGGAATTGAACTCAGGTCTCTCACTTGTAAAGCGAGTGCTCTAACCGCTGTGCTACAGGATTCCACATTTCCAGTTTGTCAGATACAGTGTTTATTATATTTAATTGGAATGTAGGATTTTCTAATTCCTCCATTCTAATAGATCATGGCTGATCTGTATCTCAACTCCAATTACCTGCCTTTGCCCCATGTTGCTTGATAATCTTACCTAACAAGAGCAGAATATATAGTACACCTGTGACTATAACTATGACTATCACTGAAACATCTATATTTAAAACCCCCGTAGCTTCACCCCTCAAAATACCTCTCCATATCACCCAGAAATTTCTTCTCCCTCATGAGTTTCCTCTTAAATGTATTGATGGTTTCTGCTTCAACCACAGCAGTCTCACCACCCTTCGGTGTGAAGCAATTCCACCTGAACTCCCTTTTTATATTTATATTTATGCCCCCTTATTAAAGTCTTGTGGACTGGAAAACAGTCAGTTAATGTCCACCTTATCAAACTCTTTTATAATTTTAAGCACAAGAATCCAGAATCAAATTTCTGTTTTGAAGACTATTTCTTTTCCCCCTTAAAAAAAACCCAAGCGCCCGAATGCTCAGTGTGTTTTTCTTTCCTTTCTAGAATACGATCAATGGAATGGCTGGTCTGGATAATGAATTTAATCACATGATAATCACAAAAGACATCAAGGATCGACATCAATTCAGCTCATTCAGCAGCAGAGGTTACCGAACCTTGTCCCAGCGTAAGCACTCGGGCCGGAGAAGCATGTATAGTGACAATGGGGCCAATTACAAACGCTTACCAGCTAGCCGAAGCGAACCAGATCTGCTCATTGCCCAGGGCTCAGGCACAATCAGGAAAATGGATAGCAAACGAAAAAGCCAGAAATATATAGCAGGTCAAAAGCCTGTCCAGTCCTATCGCTCGCTTTCAGGTCGTACATCGTCTCATCGCTTTGATCAACATGGGAAAATGTCAGCGCAGTAAGTACAATCTAATACGATTTACATTCATACAGCACCTATCGCGTCGGGAAGATGTCTCAAAGTGCTTGATGATGCCAGATGGGCACCCGAGCAGGGGGTTGAGGAGAGGGAAAGATGGCAGAAAACCTGGTCAAAGATTTGACCAATACATTTCGAGACCTAAATTTGAGTTTTATTTGGAAACGTCATTTCTGAAATGGTCTGTTCCAAAGTTGATTAAATGAATGGTGCTTTTGCATTTGCATGTTAAACTGTTAACATGCAACTCTGTTAAACTCAAAGCCAGCATAGCAAGCAAATAGAGAAATCCTGAATATAATTAAGATTGACATTTTCTAAAGATTGGAATTGGAGATTTTCTTTATGGCTTTTTGACACTCGATTTAACTAGTGGACATATTTCTAAGTTCTACATTGTTTATGTAGGGCATATCCTGCCTATAGACAGGCTTACCGGATTTAAGTTTCTGTTTTAATTTTTGATGAATAATATAAGATGTTCAGCCTTTGTGGTGGTGGTGGTGGGGGGATTTGACTTGTATTCAAACTTTTCCATTAGAAAAATGGCCCACTTCCAGCTCATAAGGTCACCTTGGAGGTCACTTTGTGCTCACTGCACGTGTTCGCTGGTACGCACGCAGATGTTCCAACAAATAAGTTGCAAAACTGATAAATAACAATAATAATCCTTGCATTTGATATAGCGCCTTATCACGTCTTCAAGACCTCTAAAAGCTCTTCGCAGGATACTGCTTTTAACTGACAAAGAGCATTTAATGTACCACTGTCTCCACTTAGTGCCTGTCTTAATAAATCAACTTCATTGGTCACTTTTTAAGCTAACCCAGTCATAGTTAAGTACTTTCATCACATTGCCACCAAAAGCAAAGAATACTTTTTAAAAAAATGAACCACTGCTTAATAAAAAGTGCTAAATCAGCATTTACTTTAAAATAATGACTTGTTTGCCATTTTTATTCATCCTTAGGACACATTTTCAAGAAGTTCCTGGGGACATGAACCTAAAGAAAGCTGTGTTCTTCTTAACCAGCAATAACCCTGTCATTCTGGCCTATTCTGCCGCTTACATTCAGCATGAGTGCTTCACTAAAGAATCTGCCAAGCTGGAGGTAAAATCGAACAAAACAAAGAGAAGCTCTTGAAAGAGAAACAGCCACTCACATCCTCACTCACCCTCACCAAACTCCATATGTCCTTCACCCATTCCTCACCAGGCACCCCTGTCTCCCTGTCTCTCAGCAGAGCAATTTCAAGTTCCTCACCCTCCGATCTCCTCCTACCCCCTCCTCTCTTCACGTCCCCTCTACTTGGCCTAGTTCAGGCTTGCTGAATAACCCTACCATCAGTGGCCTAGCTTTCAAATTCTGCACCCATAACCTCTCGAACTCCCTCCCTCAACTCTTCCATCTCGAACCCTCTCAGCAACAACTAAAACAAATTACATTTGTAAAGCACATTTCACGTTGGGAGGACGTCCCAAGGCACTGGACAGTCAGGGATTTGGACCGAGCTGGCTGGAGGGTGGGATCAGGAGGGTGGAGGTCAGGGAGGGTAGGAGGGTGACTGATGGCACTTTCGAAGAGGAGGGTCTTGAGACTGGCCTTGAAAAAGCAAGAAAGGGAACAAACTGAAGGGACTTTGGGATGGACTTCCAAAGGGTGAGGATAGAGATGCTGAAGGCCCAACCACCAATGGTGGTCAACAGTATCTGATAGCTCGATGTAGCTGACTGGTTAACTAATGCTGACTTTTCCAGGTTAATAGGTATGAGGGAATCCCTCGTTTAATCAACTTGCTGAAGATCCCAAATGCCAACATCCAGCAAGCTGTCTGTGGAGCCCTTCGCAACACCGTCTTCAAGAACAATACCAACAAGCTGGAGTTCGTAAGGCATGGTGGCATTGCCGAGGTTCTTCATTTGCTTCAGGAGACAAATGATACGGAGATACGAGACCAAATAACAGGTGCGATGCTTTGGCACTGTCAAAGACACAGGCCCTAGAAACAGTGCTGAAGGAGAGCAATTGAAAGCTAGGCCACTGATGGTAGGGATACACAACATGCCTGACGTAGCCAAGTTGGGGGAGTGAGGGGGCGAGGAGAGGAGGGGGCAGTAGGAGATCGGACAGATAGGCAGGTGCTAGGGAATGAAGGGACTTGCAGGTGAGGAACTTGAAATTGATCCAGTGAGAGACATAGTTAGAGGAATGAGCAATTGTTAAACAAACCAGGGCTCTTTATATTCAAAGGAGATGACTCAGAGGGGACATTGTAGAGGTATATAAGATTTTTTAATAAGATTCAGAAAGGAAACTCAACACAATATGCACCGAGACAATAGAACAAAGGGACACAGGTTCAGAATTGCAAAGGGCAATTTCAAGACAGATTTACTAGGAAGCACTTTTTATTACCCAGAGGACAAACAGCAACTGGAACTGGTTAGCAGGAAGAGTGGTTGAGATTCGGACACTGGACTCATTTAAGAAACGGCCTGGGAGAGGATGATAGGGTGGGTTGTCTGGAAAGATGAGATCAGATGACCCAAATAGACTTCTTCACCCGAGCCTTTTATAATCGTGTGGTTGTTCTCTTTACTCCCTGTGGACAAGAGCTAATACCTTTCTCTGAATAGTTTCAGAGAGTTAGAGAAGCTGCCTTACATCCCAACATAGATTCAAGACTCAGCCCCAATGCTGAAAGCGAGAGTGCCTCCTATAAAACAGGACTGAAACAGATGTAGAGCTGCAGATAGAGAACTGAAAGCTGACAATGTGGTAACTGTGGTTGAAGCAGATAGCATTATCTTCAATTAAGAGGAAACGTGATTCATATAGGAGGGAGCAGGAAATAGTGCAGTGCAGGAGAAGGGATTAAAAGGGTTGCAGACTCATGTGGAGTATGAACACTGGCACAGATTAATTGGACTGAAGGAAATTGTTTGAAAAGTGATCACTTCAATGTGCACCTATTTGTTTTATACTCTTTAGGTCTGCTATGGAACCTTTCATCCAGTGAAGACCTGAAGGAATCCTTAATTAGTACTGTCCCAATCCTGAATAAATGCGTGATTATTCCGTATGTTTCTAAGTCCCCAAACTCAAAGGACTACGAGGCTTTTCACAATGCCACAGGTTGTCTAAGGTAAGCCTTTGTCTTTTCCCGTCAGGAGAAAAAAGAACATTAAACTGGAATGTTTCAGCAACTCATCTAACAGAAATAATTTGATATTTTGATACAGTTCATAGACCGTTTTCTCTTACTGGTGAGTCCAAAATGGGGCGGCATAAATATAAGACAGCTGACACTAATTAGATAAGGATCAGATTTGCAGTATTCCTTAAGGAATTTTTTATCTAAATTACAAAAAGGAACTTCTTAAGGAATGCAGCAAATTTTTCCCATTAAAATTAATAATAATAAAAAATGCATTAGATATAACACCTATCAAGCCCGGAAGATGTTTCAAAGCATTTCACCATGCAGTGTAAACTGTAGTGACTGTATTTTTTGGTGAATACAGCAGTCGATTTGCACGCAGACAAGCCACAAAGTAAATGATCAATTTTATCTGGGGTATTGTTAGCTAGGACACCAGGAAAAACTCGCTTGTTTTTCAAATGGTGCCATGAGATCTTTAATGTCCAACTGAACAGGCAGATGGGACCTTGGTTTAAAATTTCATCCAAAGGACGACACCTCTGTCAGCACACCTCAACATGGCACTGGAGAGTCAGCTTAGACTGTGCTATTTCAAAGTCCCAATGTGGGGCTTGAACCCATGTCCTTCTGATTCGGAGGCTAGAGTGCTGCCAACTGAGCCAGGCTAACACCTGTCCCACTTTAGAATAAGATTTATTATAGAGCTGCTTGATATACCTAAGTTCACTTCAGCAACCTTTATTCAGTGTAAAGGAATCTACTTGACTGTAATTCCTGCTACACAAGGTTCTGAATCATAAGGAAACTCATTTACTGATTTTACTTTGACCGAGCCTTCAGCTCCCCTCTCGACTCTCTTCCCCCTCCTCGCTCCCTCCCTTCCCTCCCCTCACCCTGACCATTTCCCCCCTCCTCGCTCCCTCCCTTCCCTCCCCTCACCCTGACCATTTCCCCCTGCTCGGGTCATGACCCAACTGTGCAGCGCCTTGGGACGTCCTCCTGACGTGAAAGGCGCTTTATAAATTGAATCTTGTTGTTGTTGTTGTTGTTACACATTAAAATTATGTGTGTAAAGCAATAACTTATCCTGGCCTTAAATCCCTCAGATCAAGCTGATCATTCACTGCTGCCACATTTGTCTAAACATTGCCCTTTACACTTTTCACTTCTGTGAATGGGACTATATCCAATGCAACAATTATTATGCTTTTTTTAATACCAATGAATCCATATTTTCACTGAGTACTTTTCATCCCTTGCTGTCTACACGCAGTTAAGGAAGGCCAAAGGAGACACTGAGCAACAGGAATCAAACTGCTAACAATTTCAAGTTAATTGTTTTACACCCGGAATGATGAGGATTTTGCTTGTAGTTCCTGTACCAGGATTATGTTTCTGTCCTGCAGTCCATTCTTAAATGCACCTTTATTCTGTGTATTTAGGAACCTGAGCTGTGCTGGTTTGGAGGGACGCAACAAGATGCGAAATACCCCTGATTTTATTGACTCTATTATGCATTATGTAGAAACCTGTGTTTCTACAAACAAAGTTGATGAAAAGGTTAGTGTCATAACTAGTCTGTGGTTTTACCTGAAAATTCGCCTGCAGACATATAGCCTGACAGTTGATGATTATACAGTAAGGCTCCTTTTAATTTAAGTGGGCAATCAGTGCTTGTTGAACCCCACACTGGGAGAAGTAAACCAAATCAGGAGCAGAGAGGTGTGAGCAGGAGACCAAACATTTAATACTGGGTGACTTAAGTCACCTTCGTAGAACCATAGAATTTTATGGCACAGAAGAAGGCCATTTGGCCCATCGTGTCTGTGCTGGCTCCCTCAAGAGCAATTCTTTCAGCCCCACATTTTACCCTTTCCCCACAACCCTGTATTTGACTGGTTTTAAGGTATCCGTCTTGTTCATCTGTGGCCCTGACCACTAAGGTGCTAGTTGGACCAAGTTGGCATTGATTGCCTTGTTGTTCCTGATTCTCCAGCAAAGGAGAACAAGAGACTGGGCTGCTTCAGCCTTCCTGAGGGTGACCCTTGAGCAAAAAACAAATGCAAACTCAATGTGACAAACAAAAAGCCAGTGCGCAATAGTAGGAGGACCTGGGTCATGCCCGAAAAACAAAACTTGCACAACAGTTTTAACAAAAAAAGTGCATTTTGAAAAGGAAGTTCTACCGTTTTTACATTCTTCTTCTCCAGCCTTCCTTCACTTTTCATCAGCCGCAGCTTTATATTGGTGCTTAATTATCAGATAGTGCTGGAACTCCAAACAAGCCTGATTGGATTCCAGGCCTTGTTTCTTCCCTTTACTGTGGCACCCAAGGGAATGTTTGTTCCTGAAGAGGAGCAGCATCACATAATGACGCATAATGTATTAAATTTAGATTTTAAAAAATCCAGTCATTCAATCCGCGACTGTTTGTGGGACACTGCTTTGCGCAATTGCTGCCACGTTTCGCCCACAAAACACACTGTCAATTCACTTTATAGTATATCCTGTGAAGCGCTTTGAGACGTCTCGATGACATAACAAGGCACTATATCAGATGCAAGGATTATGAGTTCTAGAGTAAAAAGACGATAAGTGTTTTGACTCACCAGCGTATTGATAAGATGTAGGAATATAAAAGGATTGCAATGTTACCGTATTCTGTTCAGTTTAATCTTCAACAGCATCACTTGTCTCTTTCTATCAGCCTGTGGAACACTGTGTCTGCATCCTGCATAACCTATCCTATCAACTTGACAAAGAAGTGCCAGAAGCAGTCAATTCCATTGTGAGGAATGGAAGTCCGCAGCACTCAAAGAAGCTCTCCTCCTCCGCTTCCCCCTCCTGCTTCAAACCTGGCAATGATGAAGTGAGTATTGATGTGAACGTGTAGCATGGAGTCAAGTAGAGCAATTGAACCCAGTAAACGAAACTTTTAGGGGCGAACCTTTAGGCAAGTTTCCTTACTCCACACACGCCTGGTTGTTTGTCGATGGGCGGATCACTTTTCCAGGGGTAATAATCCCTTTTTAAAAAAATGATAATTTGGTCACTCAATCCGCCACGGTTTGGGGGACACTGCTGTGCGCAATTGGCTGTCGCATTCTGCCCACAAACTATATAGTCAATTCACTTTACAGCATATTCTGTGAAGCGCTTTGAGACACCTCGATGACATGATAGGCGCTATATCAAATGCAAGGATTATTATTATCATTACTGGTGCACAAATAGCCGTTCAGTATTTTTAGCGGTCAATTGTGAGTGTGGTGTTGAGAGGAAGCACCACCTGCTTTCAAGATTCCAGATAGGAGGCTGAGTGGTGCAGGAGTGATGGGGTCAAACCCTTGGTGTGTATGGACTTGATTTATCCCTCCGCAGATTTCCCTCAGCCACTCAATAGGGCCAAATATACATTGATATCTCCTTAATAAGGAAACAGAGTGAGGATTCTCTCTGTGTCTCACTGACGCATGGGGAAAGCTGTCTGAGATTTCTTATTGGGAAATCCTGTTAGAAATCATCACATTCTGGGTCCTATTAAATTACCATTTGTAGTTCTGAATCTTCTTCCAACACTTCAATAGCTTACCCTCCAGGTGGATGTCATCATTGATAGAAAGGTGCATTGATCTGAGGTATCTAATGACACTTCCCATTTCCATCACAGTCAGACAATATCATCATGCCTTTCATTCAAGAGAATGATAATCCTAAAGGTGTTGAGAAGCTACTGCATTCAAAGTCTCTTAAGATGTACACGGACTTGATGTCGAAATCCACATCGGATTCCACTGTGGAAGCTTCTGCTGGAGCTCTGCTGAACCTGACTGCGAACAGTGAAAAGGTGAGCAATATACAAAACACCACATCTGTTTGGTACCAACTATGTGGTGTGACTTTTAAGTTGGTAGAAAGAGGGATGAGTTTTAGCTTTGGTTTTAGCTACCAATGTGGAGGAGGGTGGGGTGGGGGCTTGGGGGGAACAGTGTGATTCACACTCAAGCTGAGTTTGCGCTACAAGCAATAATCTCACTAATGTCACCACCAGTGCTTGGTTGACCCTCCGGGGTGAACCATTGAAATGCCAGTGAACATCCTCCAACTTTGCCCCAAGGGTTTGGCCCAAAGAGTTCTCAGTTATTTCCTGTAAAGTGAAGTGACTGGGTACTTATGTACTTTACTTGGCCATTGGCCTCAGAGGTAATTTCAAGCCAGAGATTCCCAAGTCCGATTGATTGGTGGAGTTTTGTTCTTGAGAGGGCCAGTCATTCTTAAAGTTGGAGGTGTAAACAGAAATGGCGCTGAACTTCATTCGTTCCTTTTATTCTCCCATAGACATCGCAGTGGATGAGTTCGGAATTGGTGAATAAAGCTGGTGGGCTTCCTCAGATAGTAAAGCTTCTCAGCTCAAAGAACTCAGGCATGCAGAAGACTGCTGTTTCATTGCTGTCCAACCTGTCGAGGCACAAAAATCTTCAATCGCAACTGGGTGAGATATTTACTTGAGATGCTATGACTCCGAAGATGGCTTTATGTGCATTTAATGCGGCTCCCATTCCCATTTCCCATCTCGGATGCCCGCCAGCTGTGCAAAACGCTTTAGCGAAGCGACATGGCTGGCGACACATAAAAGTAAACTGTACAGTATTGTACTTGTCGTGCGATCGTTCTCCGGAGCTCTCAGCTCCCTCTCTCCCACCCCCTCATTCAAGGCGGGTTTCAAAACGTACCTCTTTGACTGCGTTTTCAGTCATCTTTCCCCTTCCCCTCAACTCACAATCTTAGCTCCGTTGCTCAGCCGAGCACTTTGGGACATCCTCCCGACGTGAACGCTGCTGTGTAAGTCTAAATAGCGTCGCAAAATGCCGCAGGCTCCAGATTACGATTTTAATAATTCTAATATTAAATTTATCCCCACACCCGACAGCCTCTCAGGCGCTGCCCACCTTGACTCGCCTGCTCTCCAGTTCAGGCAGCAGCTCTACAGCCGCGGACAGCACACTCTCCTCTGCCTGCAACATCGTAAGAAACGTCGTGCTGAGCAATCCCAAGATGGCAAAACCCTTACTCCAGGGCGGCTTGTTAAAGAGTCTGATAGCCATCAGTACCTCTGGGTAAGTAGCTTTGACTTTTCCAATCACCTTCTTTTGTTTTATTCTATCTCTATCCTTTATTCTCTATCCAGGCTTGCTTAAAAATCAGCTCGATAATAATAATAATCCTTGCATTTGAGGTGGTGACTCATAATATTGTTGAGACATCTCAAAGCGATATACTGTAAAGTGAATTGACTGTATATTTTGTGGTCAAACTCGGCAGCCAATTGTGCACAGCAGTTTCCCAATTGTGGTTTGAGTGACCAAATTATGGTGTATTTATTTATTGAAGGGATTAGTGCCCCCAGATAGTGATCAGCCAATCAACTAACAATTAGGTTCCTACTTACTGTTTGGTAAACAGAGGCATGTGGAGTAAGAAAACTTGCCTAAGGTTTTGCCCCTCCCGGGAATCGAATCCGTGTCCTCTCCCTTGCGCGGCAAGTGTCTAACCAATACGCTACAGGATTCCATGTTGTGTTGTGATGGGGGGTGGGAACAGTAGGCTGGGTGTTCTGAAAAGAGCCAAAGAGCTTTCTTCATCCAAACCGATCTTGTGAAATCAGGACATATACAAATATGTATTTGAAGGGAGTTTCTCCTGGTGTCCCCATCAACAGTCATCCAAATAAAATTGGTCATTCACTTTAAAGCTTTATGTGAGATATTGCTTTGTGCAAATTGGTGTTTGTCCACAAATACAGCCACTGCATTTTGCAGTAGATGCTGGGATGCTAATTTGCTTCAGTCAGGAGGACGTCTCAAAGCTCTTCACAGGATTTATTGTAAAGTGTAGTGACTGTGTACTTTGTAGGCAAACACAGCAGCCAATTTGACCACAGCAATTGCCTACAACCAACCATGAAGTGAGTGACAGAAGTGGCTTCTGAATCAGAAGTGAAAGTGCTACCAACTGAGGCAGGCTGACACTGCCTCTTAAGATTATTCCTCGGTGCTGTGTTTGAAGTAAAATGACATTTCCTTAAAATTGAGTATTCTATTCTAATGAATTTAAAAGTGAACACATGTCAAGACGATACTGAGGTTGAATCCTGTAAAATGTATATCTAATGGACCACAAGAAGCAATGCACAGTTCAAATTTCCAAAGTTGGCAATGAATTTATATAATAGAATATGTTTTAACTATTTTAGGGCCAACATTGTGTTGATCTAAACTCACTAACAGATTAAATAAAGTGTTCCCGTTGTCTTTTCCAGCAACTCTCCCTTAGCTAAGAAAACCGCAGGCAACTTCCTATCTGACATGTGGCAAACAAAAGAATTGCAGAGTCTTTTGAAAAGGGTAAGCAGCCAAAAGCCTTCGATTTGGTTTCATTCATTGTATTTTGGCCTCCTGGCCTGTGCTGTCGATGATGAACCGAGTGGTAATTCATTCACGGAAGAAGCCAGAGTATGGAAGGCAGGACCTATTGGAAGCATGGCATGTCTTGTGAAGCTTCTGAGTTAACTTTGTAAGAGTGTTCAGCCCTTAAGTTAATTAAGTTAGTTGAAGTTAACATAGTGCTAATTCACTGCAAGACATTCCTTTTGGGGACCTCTTCATTTCTTCTAAACAGCGCTCTGTGGCATTATCCTACTATATAAATGGGAGTTGTTGTTACCAGTACCATGTTAAGTTGAACACTCCAACGCGGTCTATGTTCCGACTTTATTTCTGCGTTTTGACCGATAGTAATAATATAAAAATCCTTGCTTTTGAAACAGTGCCCTGATCGCGTTGTCGAGATGCCTCCAAGTGCTTCACTGAGTTTCCTGTAAAGTGTAGTGGGTGTGTGTTCTGTAAGGAGAATGCAGCTGGCAATTATAGGGACAAAAGACAACAGCTCAAACAGATTAAGGATACAACAGTGCGGATATTCACCTACAAAATATACAGTGACTGTGTTGTACAGTAAATTTGTGACCTTTGACAACATAATAAGGTGCACGCACGATTTTGCAAGATTCTAGACTGCCGATTCCAGAAAGACTTTCGGTGAGACTGGTAGCTTAAAATGTTCCGTGGCATCCCAAGTGCTTAATTTCATAATTTCCTGACAAATAAAAGGAAAAGTTTCAAACGCCATCATTATAAATAACAGAAGATAATATCCACACACCGAGTTCAAACTCAACGGAGTTGCCACAGCATTCGCTCTGGAGTCAGAACTCCAGCTGCAACGCTTTTAACTAGCAAGTTTTAAAATGCACAAATGTTTTAAAAATATCTTGATGTAGCGGTAAAGGATTTGTTCAAAAATGTTGAGAAGAAATAATGCTTAAAGGGAAGTGCATTAACTTGTCATGTTTGTTTGTTTAACAGGAAGGATTCGGTAAGAAGGATTTTCTAAATGGCTTGACGAAAACTGTCAGCGAGAAAATGATTAGCAGCAGCTTATTCAGCTAAGATGTTTCTCATTTTATAGAGTTTAAAGGTAATAGCACAGATTATTATCCTGCTTTTAGCTAGACCAATGAATTGAAACTATCGCCAAGATATCTACCATCTCATACAGAACTATTATCTTTACATGTTCTCTGTTTGGGGAATTGTGAGTGAATGATTGTTGAGTTTAGTGACTTAGTTTCATTGCTGCAGTGAATGTATGTTGAAACCAAAGTACAACAATTCTGGGGAATGTTCAAACTGAATCTGGGAATGCAAATTCCACCTGGAATTTGTCTGGATTTACTCTACTTACATAGCATCTCAGACAATTTGACAAATCCGAAAATAGTCTTTAATTTTCAAGCCCGTTTTATTTTCAAACTATTACTTACTTGCAACATGAAAGTGTAATTTAAACAATTTAATTTCTTCCCCCCCCCCACCTCCCCAGATTGTTGTCATTTTAATTATCCTTGTACAAAACCTACAGCAACCCAGCTTCTGCTCTCACAGTGAACAACAGTAATATCTGTCTGCAGCTTTAGACGTGAATAAATGTGATGCCGTGCGCACTGGGGCTTTTTTTTAGAGGGAGATAAAGCTTGAGACTTAATTTTGCTCATGACTGTACAGAACACAATCTTCTAGTGATCTATCTTTTATCAATCATTAACATTGGTGATCTTTCTCTTTCCTTGTTTATGATGGGAAATCTATTGTGAACACAGGACGAAAAGACCACTGGTGTTGATGATCGGTCCTGTTAGGCCTTATAACTCGGAATCCACCTCAGGTAGATTGGTCGTATATAATGGCAAAATCCTCCTACTTCTCCCTGAACTTTGGAAATTTGCGTGCAAAATTATTAGTCACGTCGAAAGGAATGTGACAAGGAGCTAAATTAGCCAGCAGCAAGGGAGTGGTACTCTAGGAATTGTGTTGGGTGTCAAAGTCAACATTTTGATCAGATATGTAAAAGACTAAAATTTAGTGATATTCAGACACAATATTAAAACACCAAACCTTGGAATAGTTTCTGCTGTACCATCGGCTGGATGTGAAAGAGATAATATTTTTGGTGGTTTCAGAAAAAAACTGCAGTCCATTAAATTGAGTAGCTTATTTTCCACAAAGGAATCATTGTATTGTTGGACAATTAACTAACTATTTTCCCCAGTAGGGGAATCCAGAACAAGGGGGCATCATCTTAAAATTAGAACTAGACTATTTAGAAATGAAATTAGGAGGCAGTTTTTCACCCAAAGGCTATTGGAAATCGGAACTCTCTCCCTCCAAAAGGCTGTGGATACTGGATTCATTTACATTTTCAAGGCTGAGGTAGATAGATATTTGTTAAGTCAGGGTATTAAGGGAATTAGCAAGGGCGGGTAATTGGAGTTGAGATACAGATCAGCCATGATCTTGTTTTGAAGGATTTGCCTTTAGGGACTTTCTTTAAGAATAACAAAGTGGGTGTTTATCAGAAGCCAAATCTAGGACAGCACAAGTGTTATGAAGCTGTATATGTGATGCTGATCCAATTTTGATAAGAAAAAATACCTTAGCAAAATTTATGCTGTTGCATGCAATTTATACTCATATGCATGTTCAATATATGAGGGTGTCTCATTATGTTCAATGAACACTTGCGAAGTGCACTGTAGTACACTTTGTTGCTTTCTTGTCTCCTGTTCTGGAATAGGTCTATCTTTAATGCGTCCTGTTCGCATTCAGGAATCACCTGGGGAAAAGTTTCACTTGACTGGAGATTTACATTTATGTGGCATTTTGGCATGTCCAGGTTCTTAAACATAGTCTTAATTTTGAAATTTAAAATGCTGTATAAATTACAGAGTAAATGTAAAACCAGGTGGAATTTCTCTCCATGATCACTTTTAGAGTAAATGATCAGGGATTTTATTGTTTCTGTACAGTTTCCGAGGCTTAAAGTATCTGATCGGGAACCCAGTATTAATAGGACTCAAATTAGCATTAATTTTCTATTGCAACTTGGCTATTCTACTTTGGCACAAGAAATCCTTAAGAGTATTTAGCTTTGCATAGTTCTGGATCGCGTGCTTTGCAACTTTATACTGTGCAAACCCTACAAGATTGTGTTCTTCCAAACCATGGAATATCTGGTGATTCCTATCACACACTTAGTTTTGTTAGATTTTGATTTTTCATAGATATATACATGTTTATGGTTGTGGGGAACGAATGTTGAAAATATTCCATGTATTCATTTTGCATTTCATATTTTTTGTGTATTTTTTTAACAAAAGTAAGATTTGGGAAATTTTATTTTGGATTTCACTAAGTTTGTTTTACATGTAAGATGTGCATCTGCAGAATGTTAGCTTTTGTTGTGTAAGCTGTTAAATCAAAAGCACTGTGTGGGGAAATGTGTTTGCACACTCGAAAGTAATAATACGTGAACATAGCTGGAAGCATGCCAAGTCAATCTTGGTTTAAGTTAGTCATTTCACCCTTCACTTTCTATTGTTGCCTGTTTGCATTCAAATGATTGTATTGCATCTAGTTTATTACTGCTGTGGTACATGTTATAAAAGGGTTTCACTGAGTTGGGCAAAGGCCATTGAAACTTCCAATAGTGATTGACTGGTCTAAATGTGCCAGACAAAGACATGTTTTGAGAAAGTTATTGTGAGGGAACAAGACTAAAAGAATGTTGTGGTTTGGTTGTGGTCTCTTGGCAGAATATATTGACCACACAATACTGGTTGGTTTAGAAAGGTTGTTATACCACAAGAAAGAATGCATCTTTTCTTGCTAGTGTAGTGACAATTGAGAGGGCACCTCATACAAGTGTTTAAGATTATGAAAGAATTCAGTAAATTGGATAAATAAGGTGCTTCCACTTGTTGGTGAGTTCAGAACAAGACCTGTACATAAGAATGCCAGGAACAGATATGCAAAGGGAGTTTAGGAGGAACTTCTTCACGTGGAGGGTGGTGAAAATGTGGAATTCAATGCTGGGAAGCATGAAGTATCAATGTGTGAGCCCAAGCAGAGCGAGGAAAGAGAACAAGGAAGAGAACCAAAACAAGAAATCAGAGGTGAAAAGAGAAAGTGTTGAGGGACTGAGAGTAAGACAATCGAGGGAAAATAGGAATTAAGGGAAAAGGCAATGAGTAGAACAAACTACAGGTGGGTGTTAATGTGAAAATCCAAGATAACTGTGTGTGTTTTATGAAATAAGCTGTCTCATATTAAAATAAAGTTATATTTGGTCTGACTTTGTGTGGGGATCAGATGTTCAAAAGTGATCATGTACATTCAGATCCCATTTGCAGTCAAATATGATTTTGCTGATTTCCACTCTAAATAAAGATTCTTCACAGTTGAAAGCATTTTGTGGTTTTATTGATTTATTGATCGGCGGCACTGCATCAGAGTGTCAGGTTCATCTACATGAGACCAAGTCCATATGTGGGGCTTCAACCCGCAACATTCTGACTCAGAGGCTATTGATTGAAGTCCCAGGCAAGAGTCATTCAGAGAAAATCTTTCAGCCTTTTATCACAATCCGATACTTCTTTAGAAAGCCTCTTGAAATCTCAGCCTGAGAGCCGAATTGCTAAAATCCTCGCACGTGAATAAAAATATGAATGAGGGGGAAAGATTTATTGGCTCACACTCCAATCAAAAATCCATATTTTGTAGCTGATCGTAGCAGCCAACTTGCACACTGATATGTCCCACAAATGCCCTGAAGTGAATGACCAATTTAATCTGGGAGATTGTTAGCCCAAACACCAGAAGAACTTCCCCCTTCTCATTTCAAATACCGCTGAGGGACGTTTAGTGACAGTCAGGATCTTAGTTTAACATCTGATCTGAAAATTGACACCTCTGGCAATGCAGATTTATTGAGTTATCTATATGAACTATCTGAGTTCAAAATCTCGATGTGAGGCTTGAAAGCACAACCTTCTGACTTAGAGGTAAGAGTACAATCAGCTGAGCCGAGCTAATGAAAAGGAGGACAACATCGTGAGCAGCGTAGGAGAAGGGGTCTGATGTGTGGGGGGAGGCATCTTGGCCGAAAAAGTAGGCGCGGAAGAAGAGCTCAGCATCATGCTGAGATTGAAATTCATTGAGGTGGGGGTGTAAGGGGATGAAGATGAGGCCTTTACTTAGGAGAAGGGATCCAGAGGCCTCCTGGCCAAATGCATTCGCTGCTCACGATGTGATCTCCTCTAGACTGGGGAAACCAAACGCAGCGGGAGGGTTGGTAGGAGGTTAGGAGGTCTCAGAGGTAGAGTGGGGCGAGGCCATGGAGGGCTTTGTATGGAGGTCCATCCTCATACACCACCTCTCCTCGTTACTTAATCTTGGCGGACCTGCCCTTGCCTGGTTCGATTCCTATCTCTCTCACCATCTCCACTTTGTTGCCTCTGATGGTTTCTCCTCCAGCCCCTGCACACATCTGGCATCCCCCAGGGCTCTGTTCTTAGCCCTCTCCTCTTTAATATCAACATGCTCCCCCTTGGTGACACCATCCGCAGACATTGGGTCAACTTCCATGTGTTTGTGGATGCCACCCAACTCTATCTTTCCCCCTCCACCCTCAACTCCAGGACCACTGCTGTCCTGACAGACTGCCTGTCGGACATCAAGTCCTGGATGAGGGTAAACTGCTAACCCACCCGTTCCCTCCGCTCAGCCGGCTCCGGCCTGCTCCATGTCCCTCGACCCACACGCCCCACCATTGGCGGGAGAGCCTTCAGCCACTCTGCCCCCAACTTCTGGAACTCCATCCCTCAATCACTCCGCCTCACCCCTCCTTAGCCTCCTTCAAATCCCGCCTCAAAACCCTCCTCTTCAACCATGCGATCGGCCACCCCCCTTCCCCTCCACTCCCTTATCCCCCCCTGACCCCAGCTCAGGTCTGAAATGCTGTACACTGTCCAGTGCCTTGAGACGTCCTCCCGACGTGAAAGGCGCTATACAAATGTAACCTTCTTGTTGTTGTTGTTACTGACCCACCCCCCAGAGAAAACAGTTTCTCTCTCAATCTACTCTATCAAAACCCCTCATAGTTATGAACACCTCTATTAAATCTCCCCTCAACCTTCTCTGCTCTAAGCAGAATAATTTCAGCCTCTGTAGTCTCTCCTCATAACGTAAGGTAACATAAATTATCATATCTCCTAACTGATGCTGTCACATGTTGTGTACATTCCCACTTTCACAAGAAACTTGGCCTAAAACTAGTGCCAGTTGAATGAAAGCTGTAACCAGGGGCCACGTCATACAAATCATGATGGACCAGGTCATCCCAAGACTTCAACATTTATGCTACGCAAAAATTGGTTGTCACATTCACCTATAATACAATCACTGCTTTGTTTTAAAGCCTGTGAAGCGCTTTGATAAACGTTCATCCTTTTCACTTGCTGCAACATCAACAGAAATCAGACCAGTTTGATACACAACTTAGCATTTGTGTTGGGCAATTGTGCAATTTCAACCAATTTTGTGTTGGGTGTTTCCAAGGTATGGTTGAGATGCTTCGGTTCAGGGACAGAACAAATTTCCTGCGGCCTGCTTCCTGATTCCGAAATCTAAAATATTGCTTACTGTACTAGCCCACATTGAGCCCAGGTAAGTATTTCCAAGATAGCTCAAATATTTTTTTTTTGAGTGGGGGAGAACGGGCGGAGGTATGTTTCTGCCCCCATAACATTCTGTTCCCATTAAACGCATGGACGCTGGGGAGATAACTCCACACGTACCATTGTACTGCTACTGTTTCAACCACACCTTTCAACCAATTCAATTCAAATTACTCCTTTTAAAACTGCTGCAGTTGTGATTTTGGACTTTGGCACACACCCAGCTAGCTGTCAAGTGAATAACAATGTTTGCTGGGTGGGTGTCAGCCTCACTCAGTTAATACTACTCTCACCTCTGAGTCAGAAGGCAATTCATTCATGACCTATCTCGATCCGTTGAGCAAATATATTGTTGTTTATTCTTATGTCTGACACACGCGGTAACCCATCACCGTGCTTAAGAGCATCCAAACCAAGCTGAGAATTTCAGGCATCCCACATACACATGGGAATCCCAGAGAGAGATTGTTGGAATGGAATGCGCACTCTCCCCCTGCGGAGACGCATCCTGTTTACATAATTCCAGAAAGTATTAGGCGCAAGTTGGCAAGAGTCGAGGCTTGGGGGCCCCAGAGTGTGCGTTGGGTAACTGCTGGAGTCTAACCAATTAAAACCACACCGCTTGCCATTGTTATCACCATCTGGTAAGCTTTCCCGTTGCTTGTCCAGCGAGGACCACCCTGCCTGTTAGGATTTTGGGTTGAAGGGTTAAAAGGAGCTGAGTGGAATAATTCGCTGACACCAGTGACTGGTTTGCGCTTCCAGGTCCTGCTAACAAGCCAGGCTGGGCTGTACTGTCATCAGCAGTGCCTTGGAATACTACGGACTCGCCTGGCTCAGGAACCGGACTACCAATACCACCACAAAGGGCTGGCTCGATTGCCAAACATATCACCCGGTACCAGTTCAGCTCCAAGGAGACCCCACTTACCACCCTCCAAGGAGGATAGTCACTAATTGGTCATTTGACTAGTTGATCTTGACTGATTGTGGGATCGTGCTGGATATAAAATGGCTATCTTTGCATACAAAAACAGCCTTTGGCAGGAAAGGAACTACTGTAAACTACTAGAAGATATTTCAATGTCATAGCATGCTATTGTTTTTCTTTGTTCCTCCCTCTCTCAATTTATAAATCGTCCCCTATAATCACTGAGGTAATAATATACAATTATATAACACTAGCTTGCAACCAAAGGATCCAATATGGAATGTAGATTTCGTTATTATTATAATTTATATTAGATTATTTTATATTATATTATTGTACTTTTATATTATTATACTTTATATTAGATTATTATACTCCATTGGCGGGCAAGCCTTCAACCACTCTGCCTCCACCCTCTGGAACTCCATCCCACAGTCCCTCTGTCTTGCCCCCTCCCTTGCCTCCTTCACGACCCATCAAGACCCTTTCCTCAAGACCCTCTGGCTGCTCCACGTCCCCCGCCCGCCCCGCCCTACCATACCATTAGCCTTCCTAACTGCTTGTCGTACCTGCAAACTAACATTTTGTGACTGGTGTACAAGCATACCCAAGTCCCTCTGAACGCTAACACTATCTAGTTTCTCCCCTTCTAAAAAATAATCTGCTCTACTGTTTTTGCCATCTAGGTGGATGACTTCACACTTCCCTACATTATATTTCATCTGCCAGCTATTTGCCCACTCACCTAGCCTATCTATATCTCGTTGCATTTTTGTAATGTCATTCTCGGTATTTACTCTCCCTCCTAGTTTAGTGTCATCCACGAATTTGGATATATTAAGTTCAATGTCCTCATCTAAATCGTTCATGTAGATTGTAAATAGTTGAGGCCCAAGCACTGATCCTTGTGGCACTCCACTGGTCACATCCCGCCAATTTGAGAAGGGCCCGTTTATCCCTACTCTTTGTTTCCTTCCCGTTAGCCATTCTTCAATCCATGCTAATATATTCCCCTTAATTCCATGGGCCCTAATCCTGTGGATCAACCTTTTATGCAGCACCTTATCGAATGCCTTTTGGAAATCTACTTTATATGTTCTCAAAAAAAGATTTGTTAAGCATGACTTCCCTTTTGTAAAGCAATGTTGACTCTGTCTAATCATATTGTGATCCTAGCATATAAACGAAACGGCAGAGAGAGCTGAGTGGATCCCCTCAACTTTGGATTCAAGGAAGTCCAGGATTGCCTCGCAGTTGGCATTGGAGGTGAGGAGGTTTAACAGCTGATCCAAGGACAGCAAGTCCCCCAATGCAACACATCTCAATGACTGCACTTGACTGCAAATGTGTTGGGCTTGAAATCACCATCTTCTGACTCAGTAGTGAGAATACTACCAACTGAGCCAGGCTGAAACACTATTAGATGAAGTTGGAATGGATGCAAGCAGAGTCACTGCCGTTCGGATTTTTAAAAATAATTAACAAATATACAAAAAATGGTCAAGAAATATGTCTGTGAGTGAAGTTGAACGTAATACAAGTAAGCGGTGCTGACTTGTGGGCAATTTCATCATGTGATGTAATTGATAGGGTGTGTGACAGAATTAATTATTCCAGACACTTTAACAGCTGCAGTTCTGGTTTTATTCTGGTTTTATTGAGAATGCTACAAAGTCTTCACAACTTTATGAATGCGCACACTTTCATCAGACAGGATTGTTCATGCATCATTGGTGCATTTTTGTTCCTGTCACTTAAACAGCTGGATTGGGAGTGGCTTGTCGATTTCATGAACACAGTTGGCGTTGAGATGATAGGAGAGTTTGAGTGATTCTGGTAGAGTTTGTTGAGCACTTTCAGGCCATGCTCATTTCCATCTTCCTCCAAGATTTGCTTTGACACGACCTCCCTTTGAACTAAAGTGAGCAAACATTTATTTTGTTATAACTGTATGTTCCATTTCACTGCAAGCAGAAGCCACTTTTCTATTTGATTTTGCAGTCTAACAAACCAGTTTCACCCAACATAGAACTATAATGCGTGTGTTTATTTAAACAGTGTACACTGGAGTCTAGTTTGTGGTATTTCTTAACAGATGATTTGATAAGAAAAGTGAAGTGATTTCGAAAACATCTGAAGAAGAAGGACGGAAGGACGTCCCAAGGCACTGGACAATCAGTGTTTCGGAAATGTTCACATTTCTTATTAAGAAATCTGTTACAAAATATTGTCAGACACCCAGCTGACCAAGCAAAAAATCTGAGAAATAGAATCAAATAGCTCTCTTCCTCTGTGGCGCAGTTGAAAAAAAAGTAGGACATTTGCCACGAAAAAGGTAACTGTGCATCACTGCATAGTCACAAGTCCCAATCAGATAACATGGCTTTGTGATCACAAGATCACATTCACAAGAATGGTTTGGATGAAAACAAACCCATCTGATCTCATCTGTCCAGAATATCATCCGATCACCCTCCCATCACAGCATCAAGCTGCTTCGTTTAATGATTCCCAGTGTCCTGGCATCAATCTATTCTAGAGAATTGGGCCTTTTTCATGGGAACCTGTTCCAGTCACTGATTGCCCTTTGAGTAAAGAAAGACTTCCTGGTACCAATCCTGAATTGTGCCCTATCAACCGTAAACCAGATGAGAATAAAGCACTTCTGGCATCAGTGCATTGGCTTCCTTCCTCCCCCACATCCGGTCCCTTACCAGCACCGCCTTTTTCCACCTCCGTCGCATCGCCTGTCTCCGCCAATACCTCTCCCCAAAAGCCGCTGAAACTCTGGTCCATGCCTTTGTCACCTCTTGACTGGACTACTCCAACTCCCTCCTCGCTGGTCTCCCATCTACTACCATCCATAAAATCCAGATCATTCAAAACTCTGCCACCCGTATTCTCACCTGCACCAAAGTCCGCTCCCCGATCACCCCAGTCCTTGCCAGACTGCACTGGCTCCCTATCCCAGAGAGGATCGACTTCAAGATCCTCACCCTCGTATTCAAGTCCCTGCACTCCTCTGCACCCTCCTCTCTCTGACCTCCTCGCTCCTCAGCACAGTACCCGTTGCCTTCGTTCCTCCGGATCTGGCCTCCTCCTTGTCCCCCAAGTCCTTTGCTCCACCCTCGGCGGCCGTGCCTTCAGCCACTGTGCCCTGAGGCTCTGGAACTGCCTTCCTCACTCCCTTCATCTCATTCCCTCCCTTCCCATTTTCAGGTCTCTGCTGAAGACCTTTCTTTTCGATCGTGTCTTTGGTCACCTTCCCCCCCCTCCCGCTGGCTCGGTCCCGGGATCCATTACTGTAAAGCGCTCTGAGACGCCGTCCAGCGTGGAGGACACTATATAAATCCAAGTTGTTGTTGTTGTTGTTGTTGTTGGCTGATGAAGGTCGTTTTAGACAATGAAAATCATTCTTTCACAATCACCGTAGATAATCACCGCCCCAGGTAACAGGTAACAGAAGGCCTTAGCAACACACTGTAGCAACTGTCATTTGCATCTAGTAATAGCATCCGGTATTCCTAGAAACAAATAATAATTTATTGCCTTTATGAAACATTTTGTTTCACTTTATTGCCAGTCCATAAATAACTATGGCAAGCGCTTATGGGAATACGTCAATAATTTCTTTGTGAGGCAAACACGATAAGACAATAATAATAATAATCCCTCCAAAAAACAAAACAATAATGAATTGGTCATTTTCAATCCATGACTGTTTGTGGGACACTGCTGTGCGCAATTGGCTGCCACGTTTCGACTACAAAGATACAGTCAATGCACTTTACAGCATATTCTGTGAAACGCTTTGAGACGTCTAGAAGATGTGAAAAGCGCTGTATCAAATGCAAGGATTATTATTATAAACACGATAACTTGTTCACTGCTGGTTATGCGGGTTAGGGCAGAATGGAACCAGTTGCTGCCAACCACACATCTATTAATTGTTGACGTTGGTATGCAGTACTAATAGTGATGAGTTGAACATATCTTGTATATAAAAAAAGCTTTGCATTTGATATAGGGCCTTTCATTCAGGAGGATGTCTCAAAGAGCTTTACATGCATTGATTGTGTATTTTGTAGGCAAACAATTTGCATATAGTAATATCCTGCAACCAGCCACAATGTGAACAGAGATTGTCAGCCAAGATACCTGGACAAACTCCCTTCTCTGTTTGAGTTGTGCCATGAGATCTTTGAAGAACAGGTAAGGAGGACCTTGGTTTTACAACTCATCTGAAGGGCGGATCCTCCAACAATGCTGCACTCCCCCAGAACTGTATGGAGCATTAGTCTAGGATTGTGAGTTCAATGTCCCGATGAGGAATTTGAACCCGCAATCTTTCCAAGCAATCTGGCATACAATGGATTAAAACAACATAGAACATTCAAAGAGGGCAAATCATCTCTACAGGCAGTTGTAATGGGACTAGTGTAAATTCCGCTGAGAATTCAGGACTGAATTTGAAATACTTACACCTTCTGGTGATCACTAACTCGGTTTCGAAGTACTTTAATCTGCAAGGCAACAAATGACAGCATTATATTCCTGACAGTGACCATTCCTGCCCCCCTGGAGATTGGACTCAAGCAAACAGTTGATATAAACAGCTGAGGAATTAACAAAGCTTTTAATGATTAAACAAATGGGGATTTGTTACATGACACATATTTTCTAACACTGTGCGCTATACTAGTCTTGTCATTTTCTTTTAATTTAAGAGAGATAAATTGGAGGTTTTACTTGACTAGGTGTGATTCTCATTAAATTACAGTACAGAATAACACCACACCAATGGTCAATGACCTATTTCATCTCTTCCTCCACTTCTCTCCTCTCCCATCCTTTCTCTTCCACGAGGAAGGTCTCACATGTGCTATAATATTTGGTAACTTGATAGAAAAATGAATATAAACATCATAACCAGCAGCAATATAGTTATTTAATATCAGTATTTCACCCCTTTTCATACCTCATATTTCTGTCGTTTCATTTTCTCCTGGAGGTCAAACTTTTCCGATTCCAACTGAAACATCCACTGCCACAGTTCCTTGGCTTTGTCCCTGTCAATACAACAAGACGTCTCATTGAACAGACAGGTCACTAATTCAGAGCCATTCATTAGGAAAAAAATGATGGCTGAAATATGGACCTGTACCATTGCCTTATTCAATAAAATCACAAACCCAAACAATATCGATAGTTTAAGATTGATGACTGCGAATCAATTTATTTGCCTGCTTCAGGGCTTAGCAGGTAAACAATCAGAAGACAGAATGCACAGCTCAAGAGCTCGAGTGAATTCCAATCTCTGCTGCCGTTTCCGACTGTCGGGTCAGAGAAGCCAATGACAACAACAACAGCTCGCATTTATATTATGCCCTTCTCGTGGAGTCGTGTCTCGGAATGCTTGGACAGCATCAACGAGGACTGCTGCAATAAAATACAATACAACACAATACCATACAAAACAATACAACACAACACAATACAATACCATTTAGATTGATGCAGCACCTTTCACGTTGGGAGGACTTCTCAAAGCATTTCACTTCACAGGGCTTGAAGGGCGTCCAAATGGATAGAAAATTGTACAGGGATAACAAATCAAGTATGTTTTTCTTACTTTATTGTATCCTCATCCAGATCGTCAAAGTCTAATGTTTTGCGCCTCTGTGCCAACATCTTCTTTTTCTTTTCTCTCTCCGTTTGCGTCTTCCCTCCTTTGCGATTGTCCACCTGGTAAAAAAAAAGGATGTTTTAGAAATGGACACTTTCCTGTGCTCTGTGACTGGCCTCCGACAGGAAGGTTCTCATTGGGGCTGAGCTGGACCTCACTGACTCATCTGGCATTGGAATATTGGAATTGAGTTGATCCTCTGTGGCGGTCTTGGTAGTCTGAGCCAAGCAGGTTCCACAGTACTCTAAGATACTGTTGATGACAAACTAGCCAGCCTGGCTTGTTGGCCAAATGCAGTGATTGTATATTTTGCAAACGAATGCGGTAGCCAATCCGTACACAACAATGTCCCACAAACAGCCATGAAGTGAATGACCAATTTTATCATTGTCCAGAACGTTGGGAGAAATTCCCTTCTCTTACCAAATAGTGCCATGGGGGATCTTTACCGTCTACCTGAACAGGCTGATAGACACAAGTAGTAGCAAAAGTGTCAATGCAGGCTTTTTCCCAGATAGGTAATTAAAAATTCCATTCAAGCCAACTAAGAATTTATTGCCCCAGTAACATATGTCATAAAATAGAATTATTACCTTTTGTAAATAGCCTCCAAAGTGCAAAACTTTTTTCTTTTTAGCGTCTTCCTGCGCCCTCTTCCTCAATTCTTCGTCTTCTTTTCTGGCTCGTTCCTCCTATCGCGACGAATGGACAAGCAAGCGTACAGAGGGATTTTAATTAGAGCGTTTTTAAATATATTTGTGATAAAATAATCTGGAGGTCAGTTGCTAAAGCCACTTGCTCAATATGAAAGAGACACAGATGACCCTCAGTTGGAGCAGGAAACAGAGTTTATCTTTTGGAACTCCATCCTACAGTCCCTTCGCCTCAACCCATCCCTTGTCTCCTTCAAGGCCCTTCTGAAGACCCTCTCTTTGACCGTGCCTTTGGTCACCCTCATACCCCCACCCTCTCTACCCTCCACCCCTAATGACACCAACCCTTAGCTTGGGTGCAAATCCTTGACTGTCCAGTCCCTTGGGATGTCCTCCCGTCGTGAAGTGCACTTGTAAAAATGTGCCCAGCAATGTCCCATAAACTGAATGATTCATTCTATTTGGGGATCGTAGGCCAGGACACAGGGAGAACTTTGAGATCTTTAAATAGCACTTTGAGATCTTTAACATCCACTGCACAGGCAAACAGAGTCTTTGTGTAACATCTCTCAAGCACAGCACCTCTAACAATTCAGGGCTCCTGCATCACTGCATTTGCAGTATCAGTCTAGACTATGTGAGCTCAAAGTCACAACATGGGCCCACACCCATTTGACTCATAGGCGAGAGTGCTATCAACTAAGCCAAGTTGATCATTAACCAGTGATGCCCATTGGAAAGTGCAGATTGAGTGTGGACAGGTTCAGGTTGTGAACCCACGTAAAGAACATTCAAGTACCGGAAGGCAGCCAGACCCTGTGAGACCATAGTCCAGTAGGAGTCAGGAAGGGGCAAGAGAAAATTGGAGACAAGGAAAAATTCACAAAGCCTGTAAAGTTCACACTCACAGCGATCCTTGATTGACGTTCCTTCTCTTTCTCAGCACGGATTCTATGCTGTTCTGCTCTTTCTGACCTGCGGCTTTCCTACAGGAAGAGAAGCAATACAGTTAGAGAATGTGCTTTTGTAGAACTCTTAGTCCGTGTCGGATGCTCTCAAGCACGAGTGATGGGTTTCTGCGCGTGACAGTCCGAGCAAAAATAAAGTCTGAAACTCACAATTCTTTCTTTCAAAGCAATTATTTCTTCTTCTTCCTTCTTTCTGGTCACAAAATGAACTTCGATCAAGGTCTGCAATTCCAGAAGGTCTTTCTCCATACGCTTCCGATGGATGTCCTGTACATTGGAAGGGTTACAGATGAGTGTGCGCTGCAATACAATGTGTTGGATGAGCATTTTACAAGCCTTTGATTATCAACTGTAACGTGTTATCTACATAGAAAGTAAACCAGAGAGATAATGAAATTTCAGCTTGCATTCTTACATCAAAGTCAACTCTCTCTCCGTCTGGGATCTTGGGAGGCACCAGGTTAGGCATAAAGAGCCTAGAAAATTAAATTGGAAGAGTTAGAACACTTTACATGACACACATGACTCATATAGTCACTGAATGTTGTCTCTGTCAAGGGTATTGTGTTTTTAAAGGGGCATTAATCCCTTTCACTTTACTAGAGCCAGAAATCGCTTTCTTACATTTCACTGATCATGAGCAGCAGATGTTAATACGATTGGAACAATATACACTGTAGAAAACATTTAATCATCAGTAAAAGTACTACTGCATAGCATTCCAGCTACCTACTAAAAGAACATTATATTTTCCCACATAATACACACAGTTACACCACTTTACAGTATATGCTGTGAAACACTTTGGGAATCGCTTTCACATTGCATCCTCCCGACGTGAAAGATGCTATACCAAATGTAAGGACTATTATTGCATGCCATGATACAACATTAAATCGGTTTGAACTGTGCCATTTTTGCATACAGTATAGTAAAATCCTGAAATCAGTCTCTGGTACACATGGATTATATTGTAATTCTGCTTACAGAGTCTGGGTTTTTGTACCTTTCTTGTTGCCAGACTTTTCTTCATTACAAACTCTATCGTACTCAAGACAACCTAACGCAATGCTGTGCGTATGATTTAATTTAAAATACAGAATTCAATACAGCTGCAACGTTCCAGTAATATTAAAATGGGAATTGAACAAATTCACAGGATAAATTCTTTCCGTCAAGGGAAGTAAAAGCCGAGCGAGCTTTTTCTCCAAATTAAATTCTTACTTTCAAGGCCCCAAACTTATTGGAAACAAACATCCATTCTAAGTCTGAGGGAAACATGGGAACGCAGCACTTAGAGACAACTTAATGACTCTTTCAGTTATCTGCCCCTTAAGGGTGACTATGATAGGCTGCTTGAGCTTTTTACAGTTTACTCGTAGCTACATATTTTAGTGACCAGGATAAATTGTACTTTGCAACACATCACCTGTCACAAATGCTGCTCAGGGACTCTCTGTGGAATCGTGTTTTCATACACCACAAATGTATTTTATTAGTGGCGTAAAGATTACTTATAAAAGTATGTTATTAAAAGTGATGCTGGGGATTTAAGTTTGCTTATGTTACAAGGCTGAATTTTAAGAATTACTGCACAATCGTAACTCCGATGACCAAACAACATTCCAGACTAAGACTGGGTGGAATTTGAGGACCTATTGTCTGCACACTGATGCAATAACAGCTGCGCTTCCTAAATGATTCAAAGTAATATGCAATAATCAACATGAGCTGGCAAAATGTTAAACTAAGTAAACACTGACATTAACACGGCTAAGATTTTTGCTGAGCAAAGCAATTAATAATTCAAAGCTTGACTTACTTTGGCCTCGGCTTCTCTTCTTAGAAGTCCAGCATGGGAGCAAAATTGAGACATGCATTAGTAAAAGCTGTCAAGAGTCACTGCCAAAAACATAAACATGGTTGAAGAATTGAGATCTATGGATTTTGTTAACCTGAGAGCCACCTTCACATCGCCATGAGTTTCTATGAGCAAACTGAGTGTAAGACTAGGTTGGGACAGAGTGTGTTGTCACACCTTAGCTTCCCAAGTTCAATAATGTTTCCAGTAGGGCTGGGATGAGAAAAAGATCAATTGAATTATCCGGCAAGGATTTTTTTTGGGTGTGGGGGAGGGAGGGGGGGGGGGGGGTGAGATAGGGAAATCGTTACATTCCTTTTTCAATCATTGGGGGTTTAATAAACTATTCAAACAGCGAAAACTAATTACTGACATCTCGCACCAGGAAAAGCACCTTGTCATTTAAACTCCATCTGGACAATGACACATTCATTCTTGAATGAAGCAGAACAGAAGCTTACAATGTTAAGCGATCCAAGGTGATAGCCTGGGTGAAGGGTGCTATATAAATGCAAGTTGTTGTTGCTGTTGTTGTTTGGTAATTTACATCGGGAATGCTCGTAAATTATTCCGTATTAATATTTCTGATGCGCAGGGTTTTGTCACTGAAATATTTAGCAAAGAGCATTGCCCCTTCTGGTGGGGGTGGGAGGTATGATATTTTAGGTAGGGCAAACACCCCTTTAAACTGGGGGCATAATATTACGGATGGTGTCTTGCCCCTTTAAAGTGAGGAGATAATGAACCCAAAAGCAACTTGAGTCCAAGTCGTAATGGGTTGGTGTCAGGTGGTGGTCAGACTGCACCAAAAAAATGGCTGAACTTGGATGGAACTATTTGCTATGAGACGGATGTTTTGACTCAAATGAAACAGAAGTATTGCCAACACTCTGCAAAATCAGCAGCTGACTCTTTGGAAATGGCCACAGATGTCAAGTCAACAGCATTTTGATATCTTCCCATCATTTGTTTTGACCCTGAGCACACGGGCAACACGCAGCTTATCTCTCATCAGTCAGTGACTTTGTTATCCGAGTGTCTCGCTGTACGGCAAGGCTCAGCGTAGTGTAGTTCCACATTATTGCTTGCTCACAAATTGGTTCCAGCGGCACCTGAGCTAAGTCTTTGGAGGCTTGCCAGACATTTTGCAAGCGTGTTAGAAAGTGGCTTTAGAGAGTTACTTGTCAACCGTTTTTCTGTTGCAACTGTCTGGAGCAATGCTAAAGGATCTCAAATGATTTTGAAATTAATTTCTGTCTTTGAGGAACTTCCACATTCTTTAAATTGAAGAGCTTCACACCTTCTCCTTCCTCTTCTCCTTCTGCATCTTGTTCTGTAAAAATCAGGGTAATATCAATATCGCGATTTGTTTAATAATCCTTCGAAATATTTCCTTTTAATGAACCCCACCTACTTGCCCCGTTGACCTACCACCAGGCCATTTCATCAAATGGAAGGATAGGTTATTAACTGTTTCTATGAGCGGAAAGAAGGAGAAGGTGGATTAACCACAATTCGGTGGTTAGCAATGCAAAATATTGTATGCGTATTGCAATCTGTTTGATGACCAAAATTTGATTCACCAATAATTGGCGGTTGATAGAGGTTGATAGATTTCTAGGTGGATAGATTTCTCATGGATAGAGGGATTAAGGGATATGGGGATAGGACGGGTAAGTGGGGTTAAGTTAGAAGATCAGCCATGATCTTATTAAGTGGCGGGGCAGGCTCAAGGGGCCGAATGGCCTACGCCTGTTCCTACGTCTTATGGTCTTATGGTCTTAATTGTTAATAAGACCATTTGCTCACTTATTGGCATCGTGGAATTGATGGAGGTACCGGCTAGATTACTCACCTTCACCATCTCCTTCTTCTTCTTCTTCTTCTTCTTCTTCTTCTTCTTCTTCAGCTAAAGTAAATATTAAAACAATGGAGAGACTGGTGTCAGCAACACAAATCAGATATGCATCACAGTGTCACCACCCATCTGGTAAAACGTATAGCTGCTGTGCAGAACATTGCACACATTGAATGTCCAAAGTTACGTATACTATGGGAGTTGATATTCTCATTCCAAGAGAATTGATGAAACGCTGTCATAAGAAATAAACCCAAAGCTTCAAATCACGTTACTGGGGGTAGAGGAAGATTTTCTGTGCAGATGAGTACCATCATTTTCTAGATCGCTTGAGATTTTGAATTAGATCGACAAATGCTAAAACGTTCAAAAATTACCAAGCAAAGAGAAAGATCCGCCTAGCGAATCCAATTAAGGGTAAAACCAGAAAATATATTTTGCATGCAACGGGCTGTGAAAATATAGCATTCCTCCAGCTCAGCTGGTAAGCCAAGATTATTAAGTGCCTTGGGACATCCTCTTAATCTGAAAGCTGATGGATAAATGTAAAGTTGTATTGTATCGTAATTCACCACCCCATTTATCTATCCCTTATTCACTAACTCTTCTGCCTGTTAGGAGACATCAGATTTAATGGGCTCCCTGAAACATCCTCTTCCCCCACCGCTCCCACCCACCCCCCCACCACCCACATCCCTGGGGCCTAGATTTCCTATTGGGAAAGCAGCCAAAATAGCATTCAGCGGCTAAATAACACGGTCAAAGCCCAGTTCATCAAATCCACCCAGTGAAATCAGAGGGATCTAATTGTGCATTCGAAAATTATTTAACATAAAAGATCAGAAATACGGTACAAGGCGATACAATCTGCCTTATACAGTGTCTTGCTCGTTGGAATGATGTCTAAAAGAGTTTGACTATGCTGACTGGGGCACCTGAGCTGGGGATGGGAGCTGAGGGAAATAATGACCGAAATCACGGACAAAGAGGTAGGAGGAAGGAGATGAAGGAACATTAAAGAGGAAATAAAAGAGGAAGGAGACAAAGGAACAATAAAAGTGCGTAGATTTGCATAAGTGAATGAAACCGTTTACCTGACTGCTCCCCCACTTCTTCTTCTTCTGAGATAGAAAGCAATAAAGGAATATAAACGTGTACAGTTAGCAATCTATGAAGACCCCACTGAGTCATTGTTTAAAGTTGATTCCAAGATGTTTTTTCTGTTGGATAACTGAGGATGTTTTTATTTCCTCACTGATATTACAGTGTTACAGTACCATCGAGCTACTGCTATGATGAAAAAGACAATTTTACCAAAATAATTAAACCAGCAGAGCAACGATTATACAAGTGAATCAGAATCCAAGGCATTAAAGTTGGTGACGTGAGGCCACTGGCTGTGACCCAATGGACGATGAGTGCTTTAAACATATATTTTTTGCTAAGTATGGAATGAGGATGAGACAAGGGAGTGAGACCAACAGAGCTCATTCAGGAGCCAACATAGGCATAATGGGCAGCTTGGCTTTCCTCTGAGTTGAATATTTCTATCATTGCAATAGCCTCTACACATAATAATAATAATAATCCTTGCATTTGATATAGTGCTTTTCACGTCTTCTCGACGTCTCAAAGCGCTTCACAGAATAGACTGTAAAGTGAATTGACCGTATATTTGTGGGCGAAACGCGGCAGCCAATTGCACACAGCAGCGTCCCACAAACAATCGTGGATTGAAAATGACCAATTTATTATTCTTTTTAGTTTTGGAGGGATTATGATTAGGTGTTGTTATTAGGTGCTGTATTAACCGTGTCACTGGGCTATGAGAACTGGAGACGTCTTATGATCATCACTCATTCGTATCTATATGTTTTGGTCAGCCGGGGGTATGACAGAACCCATCACTGTGCTTAAAACTGAGAGTTCCACGTATGTACACCACCTGCACAATGGAAATTTTCCCTGAGTCTGGGATGCAATGCCCACTCATTTGCCTAATTTCGGAAATTATTTGGTGTTATAATTATTTTTGAAATATTAGCATGCAGTGTAGAGACAACGACAAGGAAAGAAAACATTTAAGCTTAATGAATTGATGGCTGAATCCAGAGAGCAGTGCTCTTTTGAGCTCAACATGGAAGTGAAGTTAAAGGGAGAGCATGTTCAGAAGGGGGTCAGATTTATGGTTTATACAAATTAGAACGAGATTCAGAAGTGCCTCTTACCATTTTCTTCCCGTTCTTCTTCTGCAAAAGGGGAAAATTTGTAAGATAAAAACATCAGAATTAGTCCACGTTATAAAATCTCCATGGTTTAATAATAATAATACTGTAATAATTATAACCCTTGCATTTATATAGCACCTTATTGCATTGGAATATCTTAAAGTGTGCTTCATAAGATTTTCTGTGAAATGGAGTGACTGTGTATTTGTGGACAAACATAGCAGTACATTTGCGCACACCAATGTCTCACAAATGGACATGAAACGAATGACCAATTTTTTTTATTTGGAAGATTGTTGGCCAGGACACCGGGAGAACCTCCTTTTTCATTTCAAACAGCGCCACGGGATCTTTAACGTCCACCTGAATAGGCAGACGGGACCTTGGTTTAACATCTTACGTAAAAATAGGAAATAAAAGCATAACACAGTGTGGAGGGACATGGAATGACAAGGTTAGTTCAATGAAGACAAACGCATGTGTTCATTAAACCTTTACACAGCCAGAGCATTCAAAATGGGAGAAGGGCATACTACCATGCATGAGAGAGAAGGATTTAGAGGGGCATGAGAGAGGGGTGGGAGCTGGTACAGAATATAAACGGAAGGGTGGGTGGTCTGGAGAGATGAAATCCTTCTTCAAGCGAACCAAAGGGTCTTCTTCATCCGAACTGAACGTGTGCTCTTGTGAAGAGCTGAGTTACATTGAATTTAGCCTCATTTACTCAACGCTGTGAGTCAATGTTAGCAGGGCTGGTTTAAATCTGGCTTAAGACTGTGGTGTTGGCAGATACAAACTCCAGCACTGAAAGAATTTTAAAAAATGTTGATGTGGTTCTCAAAGTCCCAACAGGTGTGAGGCGTAGGAGGTGGCCTTGCAAAGAGAGGATAGAAATAGCTCCAATAACATTTTGTCACAGAAAAAAATTCCAAGACCTTACGAGGATAAAAGATCCCGTTAAAAGACATATGGGTGTAGGTGGCAGAGGCTAGGGTCAGCTGCTGAGCTCTGAAGTCACACATACAAACATATGGTCGCCTCCAAAATACACAGTCACTTTCCAGCGTGTCCTGTGAAGCGCTTATAAAACAAATTTAGCCAATGAACAGGAATAAGCGTGCTTTACGTGCATTCAATGCAATATTGTTAAAATGCTTTCTATCTGTAAGGCTATAAATATGGTTTCCGTTTTCCAATTTTTTTAAAGAAAACAAGTTAATGTTTTTTTATCTTCCTGGTGTCATGAAATTGCCCTTTGCAACTGCAAATGGATTTCCTCTTGTTCTACTGTGGGGATTTGAAAAGATTTGTCAGGAGAGTTGATGATAGATCCATCAAAGGAATCCTGTAGGAAATTGCAAGGTTGATGGATGGTCTATTCCAACTAGACAATGTTGCAATCATATTGCTCAGACCCTAAAACTTGCTATAATCTGGAGGTGGTTCTATCCTCTTGTATATTCTCACCGCACGTGGATTCTATGCCTTTGAGATGTTTGCCCGACATGCAAACAACTACATCAAACATAAGGATTAATAATAATGATAATAATCCTTGCCTTTGATACAGCACTTTTCACCTCTTCTACACATCTCAAAGCGCTTCACAGAATAGACTGTAAAGTGAATTGATTGTATATTTGTGGGCGAAATGCGGCAGCCAATTGCGTACAACAGGTAAACAGCTGAGGTGAGAAAGCTATCACCCAGGTGCTTCTTTTGTTTCCTGCTTCAGGAAACAGCAAACTTCTCAGGGTGGTGAATGAATCATCAGCGATCAGTGACTCAAATAATAAATTATTGATGTGTCTGTCTCGTAAAGTCAGTCGAAAGTCAAAAGCTTCTGTGATAATAAAGAGCAATAGACTTTTGACTGGTTTGTGTTTACCCAAAAATCACAAAAGATTGCGTTGCGTAAAACGGCCCAAAACATAATAACAATAATAAGCCTTGCATTTGATATAGCGCTTTCCACATCTTTTAGATGTCTCAAAGCGCTTCACGGAATAGATTGCAAAGTGAATTGCGGGCGAAATGCGGCAGCCAATTGTGCACAAGCAGTGTCCCACAAACAGCCGTGGATTGAAATGACCAAATTATTATTTTTTTTTGAGGGATAATTATCAGGCGTGCGGAGTAAGGAAACTTGCCCAAGGAACTGAACCCAGCCGGAATCGAACCCAGGTCTCTCGCTTGCGAAGCGAGTGCTCTAACCACTGAGCTACAGGACTCCACTTATTCTTATTGTTATGAGCTAAGCACAC